TATGCATTACAAAAAGAGGTGGATAAAAGAGGTCCATAAAAAGTAAATTCAAAATCTCATCCGAAAGAACGTATCTGCAACAACCAAGCTTCTCATATATCTAAAAATGTTTCGAAGTCCGGATAACCAGTAAGAGTGCAGTAAGCAATAAGAAAAGAGTGCTTCCTAACAAAAATTGGCATGGGACTAGCAATAATAGCTCACACTCAACAACTTCTGTATTATATACAAGAAACCTAAAACTTCTCAGAAGGGAACATATCAAAAAGAAAATATAAGGTAAGCTACGCACTACACTAAGGCAATGAAGAAAATGAGCTTAGCCATTATAACTTATCCAGCTCAAAAACTGGCTGCAATTCTTTGGAGGCGGATTTCTTCTGTGCATCATTTCGCCCGAACTTGCTCACCACCATCAATGTCATAATTACCGGAAGGTAGAACAGACTGAAAAATATAATCTCTGAGACACGATCTATTGAGGAAATCTAGGAAATCACCTGTAGAAAAACAACCGCCTAGAATTTTGTGCATCTGGTGCTTTGTAAAACTTGTATGCCAGCCAACACAGGTACGCATTTACGGGTAGCGAATCTGATGAATGTAAGCAAATTGAACAAGCTAAAACAATATTTTGAAAATTTATTGGTCTCACCTATAGCAAAAGTTATGGTTGTCAGGTTGGTGAGCGGTGCAGCCACGGAACACAATCCAACCAAAGCCAAACTATGTCGAATTGATGTCACTCGGCATAGTCGCTCATTAGTGACACACATGACACGATAGCCAGCCTATAATTACAGGATAACCATGTAGGAAATGAATAGCGTTGGGACAAGGAAGATACTGATGATATATCGGCCGTGGGGATGTCTAACTAATTGGATGTGGATCAAATGAACAAAAATTGCTTGAATTGTAACCTTACTGGGAATGAACTCGAATTTCAAAAAGGGTCATCGCTACAGGTCCACATCTCGTGATCTTTAGTACTTTAGCAAACCCCCAGCCCGCTATATGCTCTTTCAAAGTTTGTGCTAATAAAGGGATCCGTACTATCCCAAAGACTCTCCTTTTTTTGTATATTCGTAAAAGTGTTCTTGACCCAGATGCGCGGAAGTCCGCTACGTCCACGTGAAAGCAAGGAATCCTTATCATATCAGTTACAACGCGATTCCTGGACAGAGTTCAAACACAGTGGTAGCAGAGAAAATGTTCACAGCGCCCACCATATTAATGTCATTGAGGGACCCGTCATACTTCGCCTAAAAAATGCGCGAAAAAGCTACCATGCAGGTTCTTGAAAAGATAGTTGCTAAGC